TTTTTTTCATGTGGAATAAAAATTAGTTTGTATCAATTTGAACTGTGTTGCGCATGTAATTTTGTATGCATTCAGCGTACAACTACATACTATTCTTATAAATATTCATGTTCAAGGGCCATAATCATGATCTTTTAGTAGATGAAAGTAAACTCTTTTTTTACAAGTTTTATCGAATTGTCAATATACTGGTATAATATAATAGCAATAACCCCCGCCGAAGTTGGGTATACCACTTGATATTGCACAATTCACTCCATATATGCACTCGCCTGCGGCTCGTGCATATATGTCGTGAATTGTGCAATATCTCGTGGTATACCCGCCTTCGGCGGGGGTTATTGCTTAATTATTGCCCTTGGTAGTTATTTAATATTACCAAAATGTCTGATTATATTGAACGATTACAAATGACTACTGTTTCCTGTACATTATATCGGCCCAAATACTAAATTTTTTCGTCTTCAATCACACATATCGTCAACGTGAAATCATAGTTGTTTTGTTAAAGTCCATATAGATTTTACTTTTGGGTTAATCGTTAATCGTTTCTCGGATTTGACTGAAAAATTCTGCTTCAGTAAACAACAACAACAACAACAACAACAACAACGACGAAGACGACACAAGGCTTGAGAAAACTAGTGTCAGTTTGCTACGTCGGTCAATGATTTCTTTGTTAACTCCATCAAATCATTCATAATAATCGTAACAACACTTATGATAAAAGATAATATAGTTTGTTTATTATTGTGATTAATCATATCTATAGCAATCACATCTGTCGTCCTTCGCGGAATATTGCGGATTATTGGAACGACAATTCAGTTATGCTTAATGATAAGTCGTAAAGCAATATATATATTGAATACATAGTAATTCACATTTAAATTAAAACTGTTGTAAATGACATTCTAATAAAGCATATGGTAAATGCAATACGCTAGACAATGTTCTTCATTTTTCACGCTATGTAGACATCCAGGGATGCACATATCAGACACTGGGGCAATCTATCGTCTGACTTCTCACAGACGCCTTAATTTAGAAACGTGTTTGTATGCAACAAACCACTTTGCGGTTGCTGACATACCAAGGGTCAGATTATGCTTCGACAGAAGCAGCACGGGTTCGTAATATGAGACTACCACAATCATGCTTTACATGTCAGTCATTTGATTTAGGGCAAACTGTGTATATTTGACAAAACCATTGAAAGTAAAATGCAGCTGAACAATATAGCTTCGCTATAATTTTAATATTTGTTTATGAAAATATGCATATAACAATTAAATGACAATAATATATTAATAAGACCAAATATGTGGACTCGGCGACAGCAGCTCGCAGTTTTAGTAATTTTTAATTCTAATTTTTTCCCCACCGATGAGCCGTTGGGGTATTGCTAGAACATAGTCATAAAATACATATGTAAAGATACATGTCTTGTTAAAGTTTGATTCACACTGACTAGTGTGATCAAAATGAAAAAGTCGATAATAAATCCGAGTATTGAAGCTAGTCGCATGTTACGAAACAGGGTCATTGTGTCTAATCGCCAATTCAAACATGATATTCACGGGAGGCTTTTAAATTTGGCTCTAGGATTAGGTTGGATAACATTTATCACAAACTGCACAAAGTTTTTATGATGTTTAAAAGAGTAAATGATCATGCAAAAACAAATGCAAATTTAATACAACTATGTGGTTTACATTCACTAGATAAAGTAGATATGGAGGAATTATAATAGCTATTCTACAAAGACGTAACAAATATTTGCAGATCAATTGCTATAACATAAGCTTTCGACATTTACTTGGTATAGGATTACCGAGAACAAGTCTATTTTTGACATAAAATACATTCAAATGTTCATATATCTAAGTCGCTAGACCAATTTAAATGAAAATGACAAAAAGCACAATTGCTAAGAAAAAATGGTACACTGAACCCCTAATGTACTTATTTTTGTTTTATAAATTTCACTAATGTAACATTGTCTAGCGCGCATACATTTCTCAACAAAATACTAATAAAACAAACTTGTCAATGAATAAACAATTAAAATCATTTTCTAATAGTATTAGAGATACTAATACTGAAGTGTTGTATTATTACCCACTGGATAAATTCAACTGAATATCACAAAAGTTAGTTTACAAAATGCAGCATGGCTACATGAGCCACGGATGTATTTACACATCTAATTTAAGAGAATATGTATTTATTATTACATTGCATTACACTGTCATTATAATAGTTATCATATTATAACGAGTGTTGGCGTCAATAGTAAATAGTAGTGGTTGTCAATGCATAATCAGCTTTGATAAAGCAAATGAAAATGAATTAATACACTAAACAAAATTCGCAAAAAACGTGGAAAGAGTGGCCGAAACCTTAAAGATTCATTATTGAGAAATTTATTTCTATTTAACACTGTATAATATTGATAGATACCTTGGACTATGATTCACGTCTGAGTATATTCATTATACCAAACAATTGAATTCTTTAATACGCATGTGCACTGATTATTTTGGTACGTACTTTAAAACAATCATTGCTAATGCGTGTTATTTTCACCAATTTAAATACTGTCGCGTGTCCTGTAACAGTTTTCGTTTATGATGAATCATAATCCGAATAGGTAAACAGTATGGAGTATCGAACAACAATATTAAATAATAAAAAAATATATTCAACAAATTATTAAATGGTAAACAAACACCGAAGACACGTGCTGGACAAATACATAATAAAGCATAATTAGAGTGCGCTTATCCTCGAATGAGCTATCAAGATGTCTGAATATATAACAACAAGAAATACGAAATATTTCATGGCAGATGTAAGACCTTGATGGCTGGATTCCGACTGAACATGTGATAATATAATTGATTTGAATTGAATAGCGAGTAATAATATACGTTTTCCACTAAAATGGTCATGACAAGTAGAAAAACACCCCAGGCATATATAATGTAAATTAGAAATATATAATGTAATTGTGCATTTTAAGAATGAACTTTACAACTGCATTAAAACATGTATGATAAAGAAACACTATGATGAAGTCATGTGCGTTTGGCAACGCACTCATAAAAAAGAACGTGAACTTTTAACAGTGATCGTTTCTCTCTGGTGCACGTGGTTCTTCATTCGCTCTTTATGAACATACGCACTTTTTCACAACCACGTCATGAAGCGTATCGACCTTGATTGTGTAACTGTCTGTGAAGAATATAATTTGTATACCAGACATTTTGGCCGGATTGCAGCATTGTTGAATACCGTGAGTCGAGACCAGTATTGAGTAATCTAAATATGGGTTGTAGGGATTCATAAGACGACATTCTCCGCTACAATAATACGCATCGTAAGATTTGGGTTGTAAGATCCAATCACTATAACCCAGTTCGGTGAAGTTCACTACCAATGGATGGCGACAACAATAATTCACTTCTTCATTCGACGGACAGTCTGGAGCTGCTGAACGTTCACTTCTGGTGTGTCTATGTTGGGCGGTTTGTATCTCCAGATAAGGTAACTGAAAACAGAGGAAAATAAACAGGTTGTATGTCTGGTGGGCGCTGAAGTAAGCGTAACTGCAATCGAGTCGGGAATGATACATTTTGAAGTTAGGCCCAAAAGCATAACTGAAAATGAGCCATGCTCTGCAAATTAACCATTATCATTAATACATGCAATATAAAAGTCATTTGCCATTAAACGCCTTATTCTGTACAATAGTATGCGCTCCCTGGATTTTTATAATTCCCCTAATAAAGCAATTGTTATTTCATATTGAAGAGTTAGCCATTTTCAATCACTTTCATCGTAGTTCCTGCTAGTGCTATTTTTCTACTTCATCTATTCTGTTTTCTTGACTTGCATTGTAAATAGTGTCACGATTTACCGATTTGATTGATTTATTGTGTTCTTCGGATTTATTGATTTCGTAGTGTATGTGTGTGTACGCACATGTAGCAATGTTTTGCTCAGCTCGGGTTTATTTCTGAATGTGCCGTGTTACTGAAGTTGAATATTTTACTTTAGGCATGCGTTATGTTACTACTATTGCCTATGCATTTCATGTTGATTGATACATGTATATTTTATGCTGTGAAACGAGTTATGAGTGGAGAGGTAAAAGTTTATTCAGTAATCTATTTGCCATACTGTTCCAATTTACTGTTATGCGACTCGCATTAGCTTCGAATGTTGAATACTCAATAATACTCAATACTAAATTATTACTATGTCATGGTTTGTACAATTTACACTTATTTTGTCTATGTTGTATGTACAATAATCATAAATTACCTTGTTGTTCCCAGTTTCAATGGGTCCTGTTACTACTAAATCTACGACATTTGGGCTCACAATTTCTATCCCCCAGTTAGTGGAAGGCTGGCCAACCCAGTACCGAACAGTACGTTTGATGTTAAAACTGATCCATCCAGAATGGCGGCTCGTGTCTATCTTTGTTTCGTTGAGAAGATATTTAGCCCTTGCTTCGTTCTTAGTCTGTGACAGAAGACCATAAATCTTCAGCAGTCCTACTGTATCTTGGTTGATTTTACCGGGTTGTACATAGAGCCATAAATACGCGCGCGAAATCTTATTCTGACGTACATCCGGTGTAAATTTGAAGTAACAGCAGTCAGTCGTATGAGGTCCTGAAACAAAGCAGTTATCAGTAAATCGCAAATTTAATTTAATTATAAGCAAACTGTGCCAAGCCACATTGACTTATTCATTGTCATTCCGGGGGGTGTTCAATTAATTCAAATTATTACTCAATATAACATGCAATTGCCCAAATTTGGACATTGCGTTACGTTGCTGGGAGACATTGTCAGATGATAGCGCATTACTCATTTGCGTTTCATCGGTCCTGAATTTGCATAACATTTTGATGTTGAATTCGCCAACAAAAAAGCATACAGTTTTTCCAGTGTTGTGGGTTGCGAGGCTTGTGACTTGTTTTAGTGTAGAAAGATACGCGCGTTCTTACGTTACAGGGCCACGGCGTTTTACGTTACGCGCTGGCCGACGCATCAATCGAGTCTTGGGTTTAAACACGAAATCAGATAGGCGTTACCACAGCGGGTAACACACTTAATACATTAGATAATTGTTAATACCGATGATCGGTATTTACATTTACTGTATTGATTAAAATTATGAAACTAATTTAACAAAACCTAGCGATTACATACAATTCCACTGAAACTCAACGAACAACATGGCGAATCAAAAAATTGCATAAATTACCTTCCCCACCAGCCAATGAGTGTAGTGTACGCGCTATCTGCGAGCAGTATTTTCCCGTAGATGTTTCATCAACTGATGATTGGGAGCACAGGCAACCGGTCCCCAAGCGATAATAAAATAAATGCTATATTTATTCTATGGGAACAAGCTGTGAAACGCGTTTTTAAGATTCCTACAAAACAGTAACAAAATACCAATTTTTAACAGCAAAACAATCCGTTGGTTTAAATATTACGTCAACCGCTAACAAAATTCGGCTAAACTCGTCGTTTTTGTGTAGACAGACTCCCTGCATACGAACACCTAATTACACGAAAGACATTACACTGTCGTGGGATATTTGAAACCGAAATCGTCATTCAACTCAGGAGCCAATCAGCGACGATCTTACAGTTAGACAATTTAGACAAATTAAACTCCCTAAATGAATATGCATAATCTGATTGTTTCAGGTTCGTTTTGATCAAAATAATACTCCATTTCACATAGCCGTTGAACAGAATTCTGGTTTCAATTTTTTTTAAAACGATTTCACGAATAACGTCACACTATTCACAACACTACATTCACAATCCACCCTGATTCTGAGCTTGATAATTAGCTTCGAGATACTATCGTATAGAGAATTGAACATTTTATGTTAGTAAAATTGTTGAATTGTTGTGACCTATTGAACAGGCAATTCGAACGAATTCGGACAACCACATACGTGTATCTTTGCATGTATGTATGTGGAATATAAACCGCAGACAGCATTACACAACGAACGCGTGATAAGGCAACTTCCACTGACCTCCAAAACCATATCTGTCAATCAAATTATGTTTAAATCTTAACTGCGCACTGGGCTATCCATCTGCAATGTTCGGTATTTTTAATTTCCCTTTTATACGAATTTTGCTCATGGTATCAGTAACTGCGCTAATTCTCGAACAAACTTTATAGTTATGACCAACACCACCAACCTGTACCTCGCAACGTCACATTTACTTATCGTGTAAAGCTATGACGTCATGAAAATCTCTGATTCTGATAGTGGTGACTTATAACACGCGATATTGGGCAGTGCGGATGCCTAATATGTTTTATTATAATACCCTGGACCCTCGTGAAAATTGAAAATACGTGCAACGGTAGATTGAGACGAAAAAAAAACACAGTATAGAGGCATGTATTTCAGTTACACGAGCAAACGACATCGAATTATATATTTTTTTCAAATGAAAATGAACAGGTTTTTTAAACTGAGAGATTGTTGATGTTTTTTTTTTGTTTAAACAATTCATACAATTGTAGGAGAATTTTGAATATTGATGAATCACATACACATAATCTTGTTCGTGCATCAACCTCAAGCACTGCCCAGCCAGTAATCGTCTGATAATGTAGGGCCACACGTGGTGCCAATCGACTAATGAGAACACAGCTACGTTATCATTGTCACTGGGTTGATTCGGCTTTATATTTAAGACACTCGTTTGACGTTTTAATAAGTCTATAGACGCCTGGGACCCTAAATTTGGCTTTGTTTTTATAGTTAGAAAGTTCTTACTTCACACCAAGCTCGATTTAAGACAAATAGAACAAAATATAAAATATGTGCACTCATTATTATGCATAGCGATGGAACTCTCATTTTAAGAGTGTAAAAAGCGGCGACGCTCAACCCATTTAATCTATGCATAATAGACGTGTTAGTGCTTGTACATTGCCGTGTGTGTACTTGTGGCCAGAAACATGAATTAAACTGTTTCAACCAGTGGCAGACACATGCTGTCCCTTGACATAGTAAACGGATACTTGGAGTGTGCATGTTATATGAATAGTTACTACTGTGCTTATCTATATGTATTATAAACCCTGCTTAAGAAATGTTGGGGGTGGGGTGGGGTGGGCTGTTATTTTTTACTAAGTTTTCTACTTGACCTTCACTGCAAAAAAAAATGCAGGTTGCAATAAAAGGGCGATAAATATGTAAAAGTAACAGATACAAGTTTTAATTATTATATTCTTTCATATTTACATATGCCCACACATTAACGAATATGGCATTTGTGGACACGTTTAATAGATCTCTATGAATGAATGTGAATTACATATCGCCTATTTAATAAAGCTGACACTGAAACAATTGCATGTTTACTGTTGATTTTCAGAACCGATGGCAATAATCTAGGAGTATAAGTTTGATCAACTGTTGAGATGATATATAATATAATTTTTTTTTTACAGTTGAAACAAAAGTGTTACTCACGTGTTCTTGCAAAAATTATCACTTTTTTTGTTTCCGAGAAAAAATCATCTGGTTCGTCAAATTCTGCTGGATAGTCACTCTGAAAATCTGATTGGAGCAAGTCGTTCAGGTTGGAGGGAACCGACATTGGTACATTCAGTACAGGAGCATGTTCCAAGCCGAGTTTTTTGATGATCAGCGCTTTGATATATTCTAGGCGTTTCTTTGTTTCATCAGTAGATTCTGGAGACCGGGTCACTGGGGTCACATCCTTCTTCAAGTTGTCCGATGTCGTCCAGAATTCGGAATCAGGATTGTGTTGTTCGGCCTCCTCAATCCATGCTCTACAAACATCGTCAAAAATAATGGAAAGCCACAGAATTGCAAAAAATAGCCGCATTGCTGTTCTTTGGAATTGAAACTTAGAACGGGCTAGGCAAGGATTAGTTCATAAACACTACGGATTGCAGTCGAATCAACACACCACCGTCTCCGCGCTCTGTTAAAATGAGAAGACTACGTTTTGGTAACGTGCATATGCTCACTATCTCGATGATTACGCCCGTATCATAGTAGTGTTCACATATTTTATATGTTTCTTTGCTGGACGAACTAACCAATCAGCTGACGTGAAATAAAACTTTCAATGCCATGCGATGTCAAGGAATATTTTTCACGCTGGGAAATAAGCAATATCATATTTTATACATTTATTAAGTAACCAAGTAGACGATCTCGTATTGGCGAAAACCTCTCTTCTCACGGCCCATGGGGTAGGAATGTATGTGCCAGGTCATTCCTAATCGTCGGTCTAACAGATGACTGGTGCCGATGGCCTGACTATCGGCGCCATACGGAGTCGAAGAAGGAGATACACAGGAGATGTTGCGAAATAGTATCTGATTTGACAGATCATATCGTTACAATCATTGGCGCCAATGACCACAGCATTGCACAATGATAACATTTATTTAAAGGTAGCGTATCCGCTACTCTGGAATAACAACTTTACAAACCCGACACTTTTAAAATCAGATTTATGACGATATTTGTAAGATACACGTTTCCAATAAACGGCGCTCGATAGCAACATATGACGCACGCGCTCACAAAAACGTTCACACGAGCCACTCTCATTAACCGATCGAAGACTGCCTTCGTGTGGTTATACAATGATTCTCTGAAGGATATAATAAAATAAAATAAAATAAAATAAAATAAATTAAATTACGTTGGTTGAGTTATCTTTTATACTAATATACCTATATACTTGTGTAAATTTCAAATAATTGAATTAATGTTGCACTATGGTTTTATTCTCATCTATCACATCTGTTATCAATGATGTGATTGGTCACCATGCAAACCAATGCTCAACGACCAGCTTAGATAGTATAACACGTTTATAATTGTTTTTTCCCATGAAGTATTTCATTAAACAAAAAATAAGATGTGTGAGTAGCGTTGATTGGTCAAATAGCTCAGTTTATACAACAGCTATCACAACTGGACCACTGTCGACTAGGGGTTTATGGAAACCATAACATAAACGAGACCTTGCTTATAAAACAGATTAAACGATTTACAGTGGTGAATGATTCGAGAGTATAATATACGGCTTAATGTCTTTAATGTCTATTTGTCTTAGTGGCAGTTTAATTTGTTTTCAATTTCGTAATAACGCTGATAATTAAAATAAAACTACACGCATTGTTTCGGGAATAGATAATTGCTAGTCATCTGAGATATATGAAAAATACCCCGTACTTATTTCAATTTCAAATTACATATATTTGGCTATGGTTTAAATGAGCGATCGAACTACAGTAACGCAAAAAACATCAGGCCAAATTGCTATTAGAAATTCGGGCGGTGAGAAGATTGATTTTTCCAGCAGCGTCATATTTCGCAGGATTAATCAATAATCAATTCATCAAAAGAGGCCTGCCCAGTTTTGTTGGCATAGTGAACGCTGAGTAGAAACTGGTCTTAACACGCGGCATAGTGAGGTCAACAACCGAGAACAATGGAACGCATGTGTTTTCAAGACCCACTCTTTTCATCCGTTCAGACAGTATCGGACGTGACTGGCACCAGACCATCGAGAGAAACTGCAGATGCAGACGTGCGTGGCTTTTAAAAAGCCGGCATAGTTCCACGCTACGATAATTGGGATCAAATGGTGTAAATGTTAATTTAAATTGCGACATGGAAACGCAGGAACGCAAACTGCGGTTAACCACTAAACATTTCATGCAGAAATGCACATTTTTCGGCAAACAAACAATTATATAATTATAAATTTATCTTTTTTGCGTAGTTACGCAGACGTAATATTGAACATGACGGTATTCCACCAACTACCCACGTGCACGTATTCAGAACTGGTTCAATGACCTTCGAGAACTTGAATATCAATGTCTTGCATTTAATTTATGACAGCCTTCAAACATATTGATTTCAACATTGAACAAATCGCTCCGTCTGTGGATTGCGATGCCATTTCAGTGACTTGCATGCCCACACGCGCAACTTTTCCCTGGTATACACGTACAAGATCTATATGCACAGGAAGTATGGTCTAACAATCTGGCATAATACCGTGTGTTTATTTTGCCAGCTTCATTCCCATAGCTGTCAACTTTTAATAAAAAAACAGGAAGCACTCGAATACGTCTTCATCGGCTATTATTACACACGGCAAATGAACTCATGTACGTATCATAACAGCCAGTAAAAAAATCGAATGAAATATTATATACTTTTTACGAAACATTTCCAGCTTTTGAAGTTAGAAAAATACTTTGAAAGCTGAAATAAATAATTCAGCTTTTAAATTTCAGTTTTAAAGTTCAATATTGACGTTAGTAATGTCATCATCATCTGTTAGACAATGCTGTTTTAGTAGCAACAAATATCGAATTGAATTTGTATTTCCATGTCAAAGTCTTGAATGTTGGTTTATGCTTGTGCAAACATAGAATTTCTAGATCAATCAAACTGCCCCATTGTCGAATTTATAAACACTCAATGTCCTCGTTATCTGCAGCCAAATGTATTTTCTAGGAGTTTTAAACAAGGTCAAAGAGATGAATGTAACCTAATTTTATTCTGCTCAGAAAGAACCACAAAAAAGTTCAAACGTGAAGCTCAGACAGCGGCATATCTGACAGGTTAGCTATCTGGATCTCGATGTCGGTCATTGGTTTTTAAGCTATTCCATATTATAAATTTTCGTTTCAGCTCATGAATATTCATAAGTACCACTAAGCAGATCTTTAGTATACGACCCACCTGCCTTAATTTCAGACTGCGAATTGTATGAGAAAAATGGTCACAACATCAGAAACAACAACGCTCAGGCACCCGTCTAATAATTCATGCACTATGTAACAAAAGTTCGAAGACTTTATAACATATTCCGCCTGACATGTACAGCAGGGGCATCCTTTTTCATTAGGAGCTTGCAAAATATTGGTCTTTGGTATCATTGGCAAAATTTACATCTATGAATGGTTTGGGCGGAGGGTTTTAAGTCAGATAAAGCCATTCTATTCAGGCTCTCCTGAGAAATAACGACCTCCCCGCAATAAAATAACTCGGCCAGGATAGAACTTTATACAATACGAAGCGTCCTTGTAGTGGGGGTTTTATTCTATACTCAAAATAAACTGACAACCGACAGCGCTTTACAGAAATTACACGATCAGAGCATCAATCAGTCAATCAATTTCTACCATTCTTAAAAGCCGTTCTGCACAACATTCAACCTGGTTTCATTGTCGCAGTATCGTTCAATACTCGCCGATACGGTGTAACAATTGTTAGTTCTATATTTGCAAAAAACAGCAATATTAAGTTATGTGTTGTTGCTATGCAGTCACGTGCACGTCTTCGAAATGGGCGAATGGACGCGTGAACTTTAATTTCAATTACTGGCTTCTGATAAATACAACCATGTTGGCTTCAACTTTGAACAAATCGACTCGTCTGTCATGTTGATTGGTTGTTTATCACACATGACGCAACAAAATCTGGTCTTTATAAAACGTCGATTTAGCTAACAGAATTTTTTTTCAAATTTATTTATGAAAGTTAGACCTTGCCATTCAATATGGGAAGTAGATCTTTAATGATCACAATTGTTTAATATTCCTAAAGTCATCTCATAGTTGTCTGGCTAGCGTGCTATCTATTTTTCAGCATGTTATGAAAAGCATTTTCACTAATATTGTAAATCACCATTGTATACATGCATATACCTAAATCATACAAACAGTAATGTTTTATAGCTATTTAGTGTACGTTTTATTCTATGTTTATGTTATATTTAATTTGTAGTCAGACTATTTTTCTATTTAAAACGGGACGAACAAACCTTTGCGCAATATTATTGTCATTAACAACAGTAAAAAAAAATGTCATAGCTATGGTGCCATCAACGGACAATCTGAGTGTAGAATTTATATATATTTAAAAGTAAAACAATGTTTCCACACGTCATGGTATTATCGCCCTCGTTGAGTTTTGTTCATTACATATCTCGAATATTAGCCAACACTATTAATTGTATTCATCTCGTCATTAGGTACTAACGTAGAAAAAATACAATACGTAATCCATATCGAAAACGCATGGACGTATTAGTTTGCAAGTGCAATATTTATTTTGCCGTTTATTTTTAATCCCCGCCGGACGTAGTTCGAAACGGGGACGTGTGTTTTGGATTCCGTGCGTGCCTGGACAGATTTTCTTCAAAGCTGGTACAAAGAGAGTAATAATGGGAGACATGTGCACATCATTTAATTTTTGATTTGGTTGACCTTTGGAAGATTGGCGGCCATTTTTGTCCCACAAAAAACACCAAAAATCAACATTTGGACATTTCATACACATGTTTCTCGGACATGCCTAGACCGACTACATTCAAACTTCGTATTGACATCAGTCATAGTGGGTTACTGATGCTATTCATTTTTGTGTGTGATTCAATTCAAAATAGCCGAGTGGAGGCCATTATGTTTTTATGAGTTGCGTGTTGATGGTTGATCAAGCAACGGTGTTCTATGAATTCTAATTAACTAATCAGGGAAAGTAAGTTAAACTTGCCGGCACCACAGTGTGCATGATCAGTGAAAGTAATATAAACTTGATGGCACCACAGTGTGCATGTTGATAGTTGATAAAGCATCATGTTCTATCAATCCTAATTAACCAATCAGTGAGAGTATTGTAGACTTGATGGCACCAGTGTGCATGTTGATTATTGATCAAGTATTGTTTTCTATGAATCCCAATTAACCAATCCGTGAAAGTAATGTGAAGTTGATGGCACCAGTGTGTATATTGATTATTGATCAAGTATTGTGTTCTATGAATCTAAATTAACCAATCAGTGAA